TGCCTGGTGCCACCCGCGGGAAGAAGGGCCCTGGAGGCCAACAGGGAATTCTCCCGCCCCTGCGCGCAGCCCCCCACCCGACCTGCCCCCTAAGGGCCAAGGGGGAGCAGGAGCTGAGCACAGTGGCTAAGTGGTCCTTCAAGATGCTAAAGCAAAAACTCTTCTGCAACTCGCCTGTAGCGCCTATAACCTCCTGGCCTCTCTGCCGAAGGGCATGGCCTCTTCACGAGCATCTCAGTCACAAGGACAGCAGAGCTCAAGGTGTCCCCCACCGGATCTGGGCTCTTTCTGCCTCATACTCCGTTCAACCTTCCTCACCTTCCTGACCCACAGGGAACCAGCGCAGCACAGGCACTTCCAAGCTACCAGCCACGCCCCTCCCACCGCGGCCACGCCCCTTCCCACCTGCAGCCACGCCCCTTCCCACCTGCAGCCACGCCCTTCCCTACCTCGCGTGTTGGTGGCCATGTCAGCCACTTTCTGGAAGGCATCCAGGAAGGCCACAGCAGCCAGCACGGTGGTCCTGGGGAGACGGGTGGGGAGTGGGTTGTGGGTGAGCTGCCCTGCCTCCTGCCCAATCCCCACGGGGGTGCCCTGGGAGCGTCTCACCTCAGCTGCGAGTGCAGCTTCGTGGCCTTGGAGTTGAAATCCTCCCAGATGGGGTAGGAGCTCTGCGGGGAGTGGGGAGAGCACTGAGGCAGGAGCATGGGCTCCTGCAGCCCCACTCCCGGCCGCGCACTCCATCTGTCTTTGGGGGCGTGCAGGGAGGTGAGGTCTGTACGGGGCTTCCAGGGCCTGAGCCCAGCAGGGGCACCAGGTGCCCCCAGAACCCTGAGGGCAGAGGCAGGGTGCAGGCTGGCACGTCATGTCGGGTCTAAACTGGGGTTCCGGGGGGCCCCACCCCGTGGCCAGGAAGCGGCTGCCAGGCTGGCCGGCTGTGGTGCGGGCTCCCAGGCTCCCGCCGGCCGGCCAGCCCCGGGCTGAATGGGGCCTTGTGCGCCACAGAGCCGCCACAGTCACTTCCCCAGCCCTCCCGGGGACACAGTGTGGCCTTTATCCCAGCCTGGCCCCCTCTGCGGCCGGGAGGGGCTTTCCCAGGAGGGAGGGAGGGCTCCTGGCCACTGCCTGTCCAGTCTGGTCAAGGGGCTGCCCAGGTGCCCTGCGGGAGAGCCCCTGCGGGCAGGGCTCGAGCCCCACGAGGCTTGTGTTGAGCTGTGGCGGGGAGGCAGAGACCCCAGCTCCAAGGGACACCAGGCCCTTAGCCGGGGCTCTAGGTTTCTGGGGGGCTGAGGAGTAGGGTCACCTCCCCAGGGGTGCTCAGGAAAAGCAAACATTTGCTGAACCAGGCCGCAGGTCAGGCTCGGCAGGCAGGGGTCGAAGTCGCGGGGGCATCGGAAAGAGACTCTCCGCCCCAGAGCCTGGGGGGAGGCTGGGGAGACACAGTTCCCGACCCCACTTCAGTCTCCCCGGTCTGGGTCCCCCCAGGTGGAGGTCAGGCCCGAGTGGGCAGGGCATTCCCAGCACGGAGACTTGGAGAGTCAGAAGGGACCGCTGAGAGCAGCCCTGCCGAGACTCACAGGCCCCGGCTGCTGTCCCTGAGCCCCTGGCTTTTGTCCCCGTGGATGCGGGGCTTGCGGGTGGCTGGGCAGTGTGGTGTGCGTGTGTGGGGTCCTGGTGCCCAGAAGCAGCAGGCGCCTCAGCCCACTGGGCAGATGAGAAAACTGAGGCCCGCAGGGATGAGGCCGAGTCGGGTTCTCATCCCGTCAGACTCATCCCTGTGCTGCGGCCCTGACCTCCGCGGGTGCGGGTGTAGGGACCCCGTCTGTCCCTCAAGGCAGCCCAGGGCCGGGAGTGCGCAGTGAGGAGGCAGTGGGGCTGCCCAGGGACACGTGTGCTCAGGAGGCTCGAGGCTGGGACCAGGAGCTCGGGAGTCCAGCGGGTCGGGCAGGGGCAGCAAGACGGGAAAACAGGGGAGCAGCACCCCCACCCCGACCCCTCACACATCAAAAACAGGCCAGGCCCGGCCTCTGGGGAGCCAGCGAGGGCTGGGGCGGCTGTGACCTCCTGTGGGGGCACTCAGGGGCCAAGCCCAGGGGCCCCATCTGGCCATATCCCCAGGGCAGTCCTCCTGCCTCAGTGGCTCAGGTCAACGCTGACCTCAGGTCCACGTGATGCGCCTCCAGGTGGCCCAGCCTGGCTCCATCCCTGGCCTTGACACAGGCGTGTGCCACAGATAAGGCCAGATGGGCGCTGGCACCAGCCCAGGTGGACACGCGCCCTGTTCGCCCCACACCTCCCGCCACCACCCCGCCGCGTCCCTCTCACCCCAGAATCCCTGCCAAGGTGCCTGGGGCTGGTTTGTATCGTGCTGGCTGGGGGAGGGTCCGGGATGCGCGGAGACCAGGGGAGATGGTCTCCGAAGGAGGGGCTGGGGGGATCTGCATAGGACAGTCTGGGGGGGAGCAATGCATTGTGGTGAGCGAGCCCTACCCTACTTCCCAGGCGGCAGGAGGAGGGGGCTCAAGCTCCCCGGGTGCAGGGGTCTCCTGACAGCCCCAAGACCCTGCCCCTCTTCCCCTTCCCTGGCAGTCTGCAATCCTCAGAAACCCCCTCCCCCGTCTGCAATCCTCAGCCCCCCCTTCCCGGTCCCGGCTGCAATCCTGCTTTGTGCTGTGGAGTGTCACCTACCGGGTGGGTGATGTCACCGGGGGATTCTGGGTTTGTACCTGGGAGTGTGTGATCTGTGGGGGGTGGGGGGGTGCACCAGGCGCTCAGGCCCCCCCACCCCCTACAGTCTGGCCTCAGGCGCTCCTCGAGTGCTGGCCTTCTGCCTCCCTCCCAGGGAGCCCTGCCAACGGCGAGCCTTTTTGGGGGGAGCTCAACAATGAGGGGTGAGGTTAGGGACGGTTGCCAAGTGTCTCCTTAATGACCTTGAGCTAGCTGCGGGCCTCAGTTTCCCCAGCTGGTCCATGGCCCGCTCCAACCTGACCTTGGGCCATTGAGGGTGGGGGTGGGGAGCCGGCCGGGGTTGGGGGGGGCCCGGGGGTTAGAGGGAGAGAGGGCCTTCCCCCGGGGGTGCCACCAGCCCCATCCTCCTGCTCCTGGCAAGGTGATGGAGGCCCAGGGACGCAGGGGCTCAGCCTGGCGCGGGCGGTGGGTCGCGCTGCCGCAGGCTTGGGCCGCAGAGGCCGCGGCCAGCAGGCAAGGAGTTAAGGGGTCCCGGTTTATTATTTCCCCAGCCTTCCCGGTGACAGCATTGTCTGGGCTCCGGGGCCGTCGGGGAGGAGGCGTCGGGGTGGGGGGCGTGGGGGGGAGGACGGCGGGTGGAAGGGGGCGGCGGCCCGCGAGACCCCCGGGGGCGCCCACCCCCACTCGTGGCCTGGGGGTCCGGGCCGCGGGGAGCCGGCGTGCAAGCCAGCCCGGGCCGGGACCCCGCGGGGACCGGGGCGAGCCCGGCCGCGCACGGCCAGCGCGACACCCCCCAGCCCGGGCGCACGCAGGCCGGCCCCGCGCGGCCAAGGACACGGGCGCCGCGCCCCGCGCCCCGCGCCCGCCGTGCCCGCCGCGCCCCGCTACCTTCATGTCGTTGACGATGGCCTGGAAGAGCCCGCCCAGGGCCCCGCACTCCTTCTCCGCCGTCTCCATCTCGGCGGGCGCGGGGCGCGGGCGGGCGGGCGCGGGCGCGGCGCGGCGCGGGCGCGGGGCGGCGGGGCCGGGGCCGGGGCCGGGGCCGGGGCCGGCGCTCGCTCGGGGCCTCCGGGGCCTCGGGCCGCGCTCAGCGACCGGCCGCGCGGCGCTCGGGGGTGGCGGGCCGCGGCGGGGCGGCGCGGGCCATGGCGCGGGGGGCGGGCGCGGCGCGGGGGGGCGCGGCAGCTGGCGGCGCGGCCGGGCGCGGGCACTGAGCGCGGCGGTAATCGGAGCCGCCGAGGCTCGGCGTCACGTGGGCGCGGCGGAGGGAGGACCGCGCGGGAGGAGGGCGGCGGCGGGAGCAGCGCCGGCCCCCGCGGCCCGAGCCCCGGGCTTTGAAATCCGAGCCCCGCGCCGCCAGACTGGTCGGGCGAGTGCGGCCCGGCGGGCGCGGGCGCCGCCGCGGGGCCGGGCGGGGGCGGTGTCCCCCGGGACGCCCCCAGCCCCGCCGCCCCGCCCCCCGACGGGCCTCGTGTCGCCCCCCGCCCCCGCCCTCGCGGGGTCTCGAGCGCCGCAGGGAGCCACCCCCCAATGGTCCGGGGGGCGGCCCATCCCGGGCACCCTCCTTCCCAAGTTCCACCTTCCACTAGCTCTTTGGCGCCTTTTCCAAGCCGTGCTGGTGCCATCTGGATGGGGTGCCCAGGCTTTCTGTGTGTGTGTGTGTGTGTTTTGTGGGGGGGCTGGTGCTTGGGCGACGTCCTCCAGGTGGGGGAGCTGGGGGGATCAGCAGAGGTAGCTCTCCCCAGTCGTGTGCGCAGGTTGTCGACAGTGGCACAGCCATGCGTCCTGGAGATGCAGGCAGGGACTGCGGAGACACACTGGGGTTCCCCGGGGAAGCGGGCACCGGCTCCTCCCCCACTCCTGCCCGGCCTTCTGGGGCTGGTTCAGCTTCCCCGGTGAGCTGAGCCAGCACCTGGGGTGAGCTGAGCGCCCGCGCTGAGCCTCACTCAGGGGTGGGCACCCCAGGCTGCCTTTCCAGCCACCAGCCCGGTGCCCTTCCAGACTCCTGGGCTCTGCGCAGTCATCCCTGGGGATCCGAGATGGAAAAACCCAAACAGGCCCCGAAAGGCCAGGTGGCACCCCTGCTGGGAGTGTGCATTGGGGGTGGACCTGACTCCCCCCCCCCATCTCCAGGGCCACTAGGGCCAGCCTCCCCCCCCCCCACCTCCCCGCCCTCCACAAGGTCCTGGGGCACCTGGAACACCGGGCCAATAAGCAGTTTTGGTCATTTCTTTATTGGGTGCTCGCCGCCCATGGGGGCCCTCCCGCCTGCCATGTCATGGTGGGTGACAGGGGCGGGGTCTTTCCAGAGAGGGTCTTGGGAGGCGAGGCGAGACCAGAGGGTGGGGCGGCCCAGGCTGTGGCCTGCCCTGGGGGGAAGCCAGCTTCGTCCAGATGTCAGGGCGCAGCTGGCAGGGCGGTGGTGAGGCTGAGCAGCCCCAGGCCCGCTGCTCTGGAGGCGGTGTGGGGAGCCCTGAGTGCTTCGGGACCACTGCGTGGGCGCATGGTGTCCCCGCACCCCTCAGAGGACCACGCGGCGGTCCAGGTGGTCCCCGCGGCCGCTCCGCTGGTGCCGCACTTCCAGGTGCTGCTTCTGGACCTTGTCGAAGTGGCGCAGCAGCTCCGCGTAGTCAATGTTCGGGGACTCGCCCTTCTGGGACCCGGGGGCTGCCGTCGGGCCGTCCCTGGGGAGGGGGCACCGGAGGACGCGGTCAGTGGACCCGCTCAGGTGAGGGCGCAGCTCTGCCTCTGGGACTCCTCCTGCCCCGCGCCTGGCAACCGCCCCTCTAGAGAGTCGGGGAGCCCCGAGAGCACCCCTCCCCGGCAGGCTGCTGCTTGGCTGCGGCCTCCAGCCTGTGGGCTGGGGATGGCCTGGGGGAGCAGCATTGCATGGGGAAGCATTTCCTGTTTACGAGTGGCTCCCTCTGGGGTGAAAGCCAGGGCCAGCCGCTAGCCAGGAAGCCAGCTGGGGCCTGGAACGGGGGCCAGGGAGAAGGGGGAGGCACAGGACAACAGCGGTGGAGGCAGGGGCTGCGCCGGCCAGCATGTGCTGGAGGCCCGCGGCCACCGCCTGACCCTGGGATGGGACCCTACCTCCGGCCGCCTGCTCCTGCCGCACAGGTGTTGCTCTGCATAGGAGCGAGACGCGCTCAGCTGAAGCCCAGGCACCCTCGTGCCCAGGCCCGACCAAATCCCAGCCACTCGGAGGAAGCAAGCTGTGGGCTGACAAGCACCCCAACCGCACCCCCCAGTTCTGGTTTCCTGCGGGGAAGCAGGGAGGCAACCCTGACCACTCACCCCACCCAGCCCCTCCCGGACCTTGGCCCATCTCAGCCTCCTCTGAAAGGGGGGTCACCCGCAGGGTCCCTCCAGACTAGATGTGGACAAGCGCCCCGTGCCCAGCTCAGGTGACCGGGTAGCCGGGGACCACGTCTACATCCCGCTCTTACTGTCAGGCCAACTGGGGCCCAGTGGGGCGGGGCTGGAGCCGGCTGCCCAGGCATTTGGGGGACACCACGGTGACCCCCTCTGGTCAGAGCCTGCCCTGCCTCCTCCCACCTTCCTGCTGACCACACGAGCAGAAGCCGCCTGGGCCCAGCAGAGGCCCTGTCTGTGGGGCCCCAGGGGGCGGCGCTCTGGACGCCAACGCCTGCTTCCAACTTCCCAGGGACCAAGTGTGGTCAGGGACCCCGTCCCAGAGGCCACCGGGCTTCCTTCCCTGGGGAGGCTCTGACCAGGAGGAGGGGCAAACACGCAGCCCCAACTATGGGGTGGCCAGGGATGGCCCCAACCCTGCCAGGCCGGAGGGGGCGAGTGCCACCTGGGATGGGGCACCCCCGGGTGTCTGCTCTCCCCAACACTCCTGCAGGCCGAGGTCCCTGGTCCTGAGGCTGAAGCTGGCCTGTCACCGCAGCCACGCTCCTGCATGCCGTGCGTCCCCGCTGTGGCCCCGGGGAGCCCGTGGGTCCCTGGGGTGTGGCCCAGAGGCCTGAGGTGGGGGTGCAGCTGGCCTTGACCTCCCTGGCACTATTCCCCCACCCCACACCCCCAGGAGCCCACATCGGGTAATGCTCAGGGGTTAGTCCTAGCTCTGCACTCGGGAATCGAACCCAGGCTGGCCGTGCGTCAGGCCAGCGCCCTATTTGCTGGATTACTGCTCTGGCTGTGCTGCTGGCACTCGGAGTGCCCGAACGCAGCCACTCAGCTGTCCCGGCCTGCAGGACTGTCGGGCAACCCAACCCTGCTCCCAGCTGCCCACCCAGCCCCTGGCCTGGGGTGGGGGGTGGGGTGCCTGGTGCCCAGCCCTGAAACCCGACTCTTTCTTCAGCTGTTCCTGGGGGTGGGGGTGGTCTGGGGGGGGTCTGGGAACCCTAACCCCACCCCAACCCACGCCACGCCCGGGCAGTGCACAGCGTCTGGGATGGCCGGGTCGCTCCGGACGGGGCTGTCGTCTCTGAACAGCTGGGACTGGCCTGGAGCTGCACTTGGTGGGGTCAGAGCCCCTCTCTACTGGCCAGGGGCAGGCCAGCGCATGGCCAGTTCTCGCGGAGGGCAGGGACCTGGGTCAGGCCTGTCCCAGGCGGGAGAGTGTCTGCGAGAGGGAAGGGCCCGGACAGACGCGCTGAGCGGCTCTGAGACCCGCCGAGGATCTTAGACACCCGGGGGCATCCGACGCAGGCCAGGCCGCCACGCAGAGTAAATCTTCTCCGTGGCTCTGCCTGTTTCCATGGCGACCCGACAAGTGAAATTTTCCATCTCGGATGCCAAATGCCTGCGGATGAGGCAGAGCCTCCAAGGGTTACCAAATATAGACACGGCCCTCCGGGCGGCAGGCCGGCCTCCGGGGGAGTGGGCCCGGGACCATGTGAACCCCTGCCCCCCACCCCCTCTGCCATGCCAAAGGGCCTGAACGGTCCAGGTTGGAGCCTGTGCCAGAGACAGGAGGGGGTCAGGCAGCCAGGGCACCCCGGGAGCTCCCTGCAGTGCCACCTGGGCCGGGCACAGCTTTGACCTCCGGGGCTTCTCTCTGGCAGGGGAGAGGGGGTCCCCCTTTTGGCGACAGTACCAGGGATGGGGCCCGGAGCTGCCCCACTGCCCCCCACCCTGGCGCACTCACTCGGGCTGCAGCAGCTCGGGGTTGGGCACGCACTGCAGCCGGCGGGACAGCAGCTGGAAGGCGCTGCTCTGGGGCAGGAGCATGAGCAGCCCGTATAGCGCCTTGATCAGGTACGGGTTGTTCTTCACGTCCAGCAGCTGGAGGCGCAGGTCTGTGGTGGGGAGACGTCGTGTCAGGGTGCAGCGGAGAGCGCGGGGCCTGCTCCGGGGGGCATGTGGTCCTCCCAGAGCCCAGGCATGTTCCTGGGTTACCGGAACCCCCTCCCGGCCCGCGACACCCCACCAAGTGGTGTGGAGACGCCTCTCGCTATGGCCCCTCTGAGCCCGATGTGGGCCCCTTGGGTCCCAAGGTCACCCCAAGCAGCAGGCGTCGCAGACTCGGGGAGCCAGGAGCCACCAGGAGCCGCCCCACCATGTCTGGCCATGCCGACGGAGCCCAGGATCCCTCTGCGCTGGGGCCCTGGGGTGAAGCCAGTCCCCCACAAGGGTTGTTAGGCTGGGAGCTGGAGGGGCGGTAGCCTCAGGCAGGGGTACCCCTGGGCCAGCCGTGGCCGCCCTGTCCCTGTAGGCTGTTCGGGGAAGTGGTACAGCCAGAGAGCACCCCGTGTTCCTGACTGCAGAGGCCCAAAGGCACACGGGGTCCCCTCGCTGTCCTGCAGCCCCACAAACTGGGCTTGTGGGAACAGGGGGCCGAGGTCTTCGTGTGACCCACATGAGCCCCAATACTGCTGTGACCTGACACGTCCCGACATGCCGCTGTGTCCCCCTCACCCTGGGGTGAGCACTCAGCGACCAGAGGCCCCAGCACAAAGCACAAACTTGGTGTGGGGCGGAGGGGGGGTGTCGCCTGCCCCAGCCTGGCTGGAGCCGGTAGGCCCAGGTCAGAAACCACCAGAGACACAAGCAGGGCCGCGGGGGGCCGGGTGGCTCCCTGCGTGCCTGCCTGGGGGTGGGGGGACTTGCAGCCAGCGGGGTGCTGGCTGGGTGCAGCACAGGTGGGGCCACCCCAGCTCCTGGAAAGAAGCAGACGGGGTGAGTGGCGGGCACTGGGGGTGCTGCCGACTCCCCAACATGTGGAAGCGCGGTGCTCTCTCCGGCACCAGCCCGGGGAGCAGCTGCTGCCATGGCGGGGGGCGCTGAGGTCTGCCTGAGGCCCCCTGGGGAGCACCCCGGGGCCGCCCCCAGACTCTCACACGTGAAGATGGGGCACTCCAGGAGCTGCACCAGCTTGTCCACTTCCGTGAGGAAGTCCACGGTCACTTCCAGGTCCCCGCTGGGCGGGCGGTCAAGGAAAGCAGAGCTGGGCAGAGCCCCCACCCACTGCCACCCGCCACGCAGAGACGGGGCAGTGTCTCCCTGCTGCCGCAGGCCCTGTGCTGGGTCCCACTCTGGCTCTGTGAGGCTTCCAGGAGGAGGTGCAGCTGTGTCTCTGGGCCCCGGGGAGCCATGCGGGGGCAGGGAGCAAGTACCTCAAGGCCCCAGGCTAGATCCAGGCTGACCCTCTGTCTCAGTCAGGCCCAGGGCCGAGCGCTCGTCCCCCAAGGGAGGCGGCGGCCAGTCCTGTGGCCTCCGTGGGGACTCAGAGGCGCGAGCCAGGGTTTCCCGCAGGCCCGAGGGGCCCCTACGGCCACACCCAGGCCAGCCCAGCGATGGTGGTTGGTGGGACCCCTGCAGAGCCCTCAGCCCCTCTCCCAGGGGCCTCACTGACAACTCCAGCTCTGACCCTGATCTGAACTCTTTCTCCTGGGCCGATGCTGTGCGCCCCCAGCCCCGCCCCGCTCAGGACCCCGGGGTGGGGGGTGGGGGGTGGTGGATACAACTTCTGGATGAGGTCGTAGGCGTGCCGGTAGTTCTGGGTGAGGAAGCACAGAGAGACGGTGGTGACAGGGTTGTGGCACCAGGAGCGGTACAGGCAGCAGAACAGACTCCGGCTCTCCTGGGGGGGAGGCGGCAGTCAGCAGAGCCCCCCCCAGCTCGGGCCAGCTCAGCACCCGCAGCCGCTGCTGCCTCTGGCAGCCCAGCTGGAAAGAAGCCGTCACAAAGGAAAACGCTGACGCGTCTGCTCAGACCCTGTCATTACCAGGGCCGCAGGGCCGCGTGCTGGGGCAGCGGCAGCAGGAGGGGCCAGCTCAGCGCCCCTCGCGGGCCTTTCCAGAACCCCGGGCGGCCTCCCCTGGCCCTCCTCGGACCCGTGGGAGCAGAGGTCGCCCCAGGGGATTCTCCGGGCCTCCGTGAGTGTGTGAGAACGGCAGGAGCGTGACGGCCTGGCCGGTCTGACTTTCCCAAGCCGCTCAGCCCCAGGCTGACTTGGACGCTGGCCTGGACGGCCCCGAACATCCCAGGGAGGCCAGTGTCCAGGGCCCTGTGGAGACCCGGCTGGGTGGGAGGGTCCTCCCCATCGCTGGCCGTCCCGAGGCCAGAAGAGGCCGTGGCCGGACGCTCCAGCTCTCGGCAGGCGCCCGCGGAGCTGGCTGGGTGCAGCTGGGGAGAAGACAGCAGGGCCGGGGCGGAAGGGGCGGACCCCCTGACCTCGGGCCAGTCATCACCCACAGGCTGGGTGGGGGGGCGGGTACCGGGGTCCTCAGGTCCTTGAGCTGGTGGCGCAGTTGGAAGAGCTCGGTGGAGGTGAGCAGGATGGTGTTGAGCGTGTGCACCATGCTGGCTGCGAAGCGCAGGTCCTCCTCCCGCAGCAGGATGTCGGCCATGGAGTGGAAGATGTTCTCGGCGTTCAGCAGCAGGCACAGTTGCCTGTGGGGGGAGGGGCCAGCCTCAGGACCCTACAGTGTGGTACCCCCGCCCAGGAGCCCCCAAAACCAGGCCCTCCTGGGGCTTCCCGCCACAGCCCCATGGCCGGGGGTGGCTGCACCGCGAGCGACCCTGTGGTAAGGCAGGCCGGGGAGAGGGCACAGGGCCTAGCAGGGCCCATCTCAGAGGAAGGGGAGCTGGTGGGGGAGAGGACGGGGTCTCTGGTCTGAGAGGGGACGGAGCCCAGATCCCTACGAACTGAGAAGGAACCAGATAAGAGCGACAGAGTGGTGGGCGAGGAGGGGTGCCCCCATTCCTAAGGGCACGCGGGGTCCCCTTGCTGTCTCCTGCCGAGTGGTATGACCCCACTGGCCAGGCTTGTGGAAACAGGCTGAGACTAAGGTGTGACCCACATGAACCCAAACACTGCTGTGGTCCAACATGCTGGCACCGACATCCCACCACCAATGTCTCAGACGCCATGTGTCCTGGCACCGACCAGCCCAGGCACCAACCATCTTGGGCATTGACTGTTCTGGGCACTGATTGTCCCAGACACCATCTTTCCTGGGCGCCAACCATCCCAGGAACCGACGGTCCCGGGCACTGACGGTTCCAGCATTGATGGTCCCGGGCACCAACTGTCCCAGCACGCAGCTGCGTCTCCTCACCCCAGGGCAAGTGCTTGGCGACGGGAGGTCCCACCACAAAGCACACACCGGGGTGGGCACGTCGCCTGCCCCAGCCTGGCTGGAGCCGGTGGGCCTGGGCCAGAAACCACCAGAGACGCTAACACGGCTGCGGGGGCCGGGCGGCTCAGGCCACGCCTGTTGGCTCTTCACTGGCCTGCCAGGAGCGGGGACGGCTTGGGGACGGCGGGGCGGTGGCTGGGTGACCCGACCCAGGTCTGAGTGACACTGTCTTCCCCTCTCTCGGGGCTCCTGGGAGGGCATAGTGGGATGGGGGTGTAGCTGCTCCCCCGCGGGGACATGGGTGGGGACACCCCAGCTCCTGGGATGAAGGCCAGCCTGGCTGCAGACAGATAGCACTTCCTGTCTCCAGGGCTGTGGGACAGGAATGTTCCAGAAGGGCAGGCTGGGGGCCTCTGGACAACAGGCACGCAGGCCGGGCCAGCAGCTGCTGCAGTCTCCATGACGAGTGGCCACAGCTGAGCCGGCTGCCAGGATGGGGCCGCGGGGCAGGATGGCGGGGCGGGCGCGCATGAGAAGCTGGCGTGGGCCGGGGGCGGGGGCGGCAGTGGCTTTGGAACTGCTCCTCCAGCCACGGGTGCCACGTCCCCGGAGCTCCCACCTCCTGTGCCTCAGTTCACAGCCCTGGAGGGGACTGGGGCCAGCCCAGTTGCCCCATGGGGGTCCCCAAGGGGCAGCGGTTGCCCAGGGGCAGGCTTGGCCGTCCAACAAGCATGTCAAACATCCCCAAGGCCAACGGGGCGTCACCACCCACTGAGCAACCCTGTGCTCCCTCCCTGCCCACTCCCCAGACCTCCAGATCTGTCCTCTGTGCAGCAATGGGGGCATCTTTCTGGAGCCCGCGGGTCCCAGGCCCTGGGACGTCAGCTTCTTGCCAGTTCTGAGGAGCCCAGCCCGGGAATGGCTCAAACAGCACAGTCCGGGAACCTGGGAGACCCCGCTGGCTGGGAGACCCCGCCGCGTCCCACCCTGCTGTTCCTAAGGGAAGTCTTGGCCCGGCCCCTCAGTGCCCTGGTCCCCCAAGTGGGACGCGGGGCACCCAGACAGGCCCTGCTTGTCAGCTGCACACGCCAGGCTGTGCTGATCCATTTCCTGAGACCCCCGCCTGGCCCCCAGGATGTCTGGGGCCCAGCCCCCCTTCCCACTGCCCCTAGGGTGTCATCCCCTCCCACGGCCACAGACAGTCCGACCGACTGGTGACGGCACTCGGGGACAGACTGGGCTGCTGGTCTCTGCTGCCTCCATCACAGCATGCTGAGGTTGGGGGGCTCCAGCCCCTGCAGGGTCTGGGATGGCACTACCCTGCCTGGGTGCCCCCTTCTCCCCATGCCCCAGCCTAGTAGGGGCAAGGGAGACCGGGCCTGCATGTGTCCCATCCCTGCACCCACTTGGCTGGGACCTGCCGGCACCAGAGCCCCCACGTCCCTGTGCCTGGGGTAGGTCCCCCTGGGCCAGCAGGGCCCCATCTGTGCAGTCCTGGATCACTCTGTCTCTGAGGCTGCACAGCAGGGCCCCCTGCATATGGCCCAAGGGGCCTCAGCCTTTCCCGCCTGGCCAGGGCCACCCTGCAGCCGAGCAGGTCACCCTGGGTCTTCCCGCGGAGCCCAGGAATCCGACATGCCCTGATACCCTGGCCAGGAAACAGGGTGTCCCGAGCGGGGCCCCCTGGAGAAGTGGCACGGGGTCAGCCGCAGGGACAGCCCGGCGCCTTTGCTGAGGGTCTTCTAGGGCCCAGCGGAGCCTCCCGCACTCGCCTTCCCTTCCTGCTCTCGCTCCCAGGATGAAAACTGGGAATCTGTTTTATTTGCTTCGGCAGCGGCCGCAGGGCAGCGGCAGCCATGGTAACCCTGCGGCTCTGGGCTCCAAATGCCCGAGCTAATGCAGCCCAAGTGTCTGAACACTTGAAAGTTTCGGCGACGGCGGGGAGGAGGAGGCTGGGGACTTGTTTTTCTGGGTCCTGCTGGGTGGAAGGGGTGTGTGTGGGGGAACTGAGGGAAAGGGAGAAAAGGGCCTTTTGTGCACTTGGCTTCCTGGCCCTCATGGGCGGCCTCTGGGGGGCCACAGACTCCAGCCGGTGTGGGTCTGAGGTGAAGCTGACTGTCCCCTCAGCTGCCCAGCAGGGAGCTGCCCCGCTGACCCAGGTCACCCTAGAGCATCTCCGACAGTCACTGGCTTATCTCTTTCCTGGACCCCCAAAGGCCTAGGGGTGTGTCTGTGGGGGAACCCACTACTAGGATGCATAGAAACCTGGGTCACTTGGTGTGCGTGTGTGTGTGTGTGTCTGTCACACATTGGCTGGATCTGCCAGAGCCTGGGGGGGAGGGGGACGGTGAGAGGCCGGTGGATGACACACAGGCCACGTTCCAGAAGGGAGGTGGTCCGAGGGCCTGGGACACAGGTGAGATGCAGGTGAGACAGGTGGGACACCAGTGGGCACGGGTGTGACATGGCGCTGTGGGGAGGGCTGGGGTGGGTGAGCACCAGCCTGCGGGCAAGTCCAGGGCCTCTGCGTGTCCCTCCCCACTTGAAGATGGCACAGAAGGATGGTGTAAGGGGTCCCGCCACGGGAATCCACTCATGACAGTCGACTGGGAGAGATGCAGGGATGCCCCCATGCCCCTTCCCTTCCCGGCACCCGCCGCGCTGGTGTCATGAGTGCCCCTGCATCGCCCGGGGCCTAGACTTGCGGGGCCCAGAAATGGGCCTGGCACTGCCCGCCTGCCCCTGAGTCCCTGTGGTGGGTGCCGGGGCACTCCTAGGCACTGATCCTGGGAAACAGATGGCTGAGGCCTTGGTGACAGGTCAGGAGACGGGCTGGAGCAATAGCACAGTGGGTAGGGCGTTTGCTTTGCATGCGGCCAACCCGGGTTCGATTCCCAGCATCCCATATGGTCCCCTGGGCACTGCCAGGAGTAATTCCTGAGTGTAGAGCCAGGAGTAACCCCTGAGCATTGCCGGGTGTGACCCCAAAAAAAGGAGACCTGCTGAGACTGGACGCTGCGCTTCTCCAGAACCTTCCAGTGTGCCCTTCCTGGGGGCTCACTTGTGGGCATCCCTAGACCTGCTGCGGTCCGAGGTGAGGGAGAGTGGTGGCTGGAGCGGAGTGGGGCCCAGCCTGCTGCCGTCACCCCCGGGGCCACCACACAGAGGCTCCAGCAGCGCTTCTCCCCGACGGATGCTGACCCCAGTCTGTGTCCCCACTCACTTCCCCAACAAGGTCCTGGCGGGAGAGTGAAGCCAACAGGCGAGAGGAGGCGAGTCCAGGTCCCCTACGTCCCCTGCGACCCCTCCTCAGGCCCAGCTCTTCCGCCCTCGGTGGGGTGCTCTGGGCAGGAGTCCAACCACCCCACCTGGCACTGCAGAGCGCCAGGCAGGGCTGCTCACGCTGGGTGCCCCAATCTCCTGCCCCTCTGCTCCCCACTGTGTGTTCGTGCGTCCACCCCATCATTCCCCGGCCCGGCCTCCGTTCCTGCGCCAACGCCCTCACCCTCAGTCAGCACCGAGCCCGCTGGGGCCCTGGGACCTACATCTATTTCCCGTGTCTGCTGGGCTCTCCCGGGGAACGGGGCCCTGAGCTCCCCTTTCTGGCAGTAGACCAGGTCCCTCAGTGCCCCCTCGCCCCCAATTTTGGGGTGCTTGCCGGCCCCAAAGCTCGCACAGCTGCCCTCTGGCACCAGGAGTGGCTTCGCACTAGGCTCCCCGGAGCCTGTGGCTGAGGCTGGACAGCGGGTTCTGCGCATTCCAAACGGAAACCACTGCCCCCAGCGGTGACCGTGGCAGCCCCACGAGGCCACTCTGCGGGGCTGGGGGGGGACGGGGGGTCTTTTACTGGCAGCTCCCCAAAGAGGCAGCCGCTGCCTCCCTCCTGCGGCCCGCTGGTCACCCCTGGGCTGCTGCTGGCATTTGCTGCCACAGGCTGAGTGTCACACAAGCTCGCAGTGCCAAATCTGCTGGCGCATCCTGGGGGCGGTGCCCCCCCACAGATCGCCCCAGGAGCCACTTCCTGTGCCTCAGGGACCCGCAGCTGCATTTCCACGATTCTCTGCACCTGAGGTCCCAAGCCTCCACCCCGGGCACTGCCCAAGGAGGCAGCGGGTCTGGTATGTGGGGAGGAGGCCCACCTCCCTGCATGGTAGCCCCCGCGGGCAGCTGTGACTGGGGGGACTCGGGGCCTTCCCACCTCCAGTCTGGCGGACTGATAGAAGTGGTACTAACTGGGCCAGTTCTCCGCAGCTCTCGACAAGCGTCCACTTACAGGGCACCAAGAGAAAGGGCGGGAAACAGACCAGGTAG